CCTAAAACTGTTATACTTCTACCTTTTATCTCTCTGACGCTCCTTACTTCAACCACTTATGTGGTTTGCCAATCTGTTAGTATTTCTATTGCCAACCTGCGGGACTCGTTAAGTGTATGCTTTTTTACCCGTCATATACCATTGTTCCATTGTACCATTACGTTCTCAATTTGCTATTACTACTACTATACCAGTCAACCTCTTATTCCCTTTGCCTGACGATCATTTGGGTCAATATCGAGAAGTGGCACACCATATCTTGTTAACGGCATCCGATTCCGGATTTGCCTCCCCCGGTAGCCTCTATGGGACAGCCACAGGGTGCCTGCGCCCACAGAAGGATCATGGATGGCTCGCGCCGCACCACTCACAGATCTATCTACACACCCCATATCCAGTGTAAAACCGAAGGAATAAGGCCGGGTGGCATATGGATGGGAACCACGTTTCATCAACGGAGCCGGCTCACACTCCTTTAACCTGCACAGCAGCAGCGGCAGCAGTAGCAGCAGCAGCAGCAGCAGCAGCAGCAGCAGCAGCAGCAGCAGCAGCAGCAGCAGCAGCAGCAGCAGCAGCAGCAGCAGCAGCAGCAGCAGCAGCAGCAGCAGCAGCAGCAGCAGCAGCAGCAGCAGCAGCAGCAGCAGCAGCAGCAGCAGCAGCAGCGTTCCTGTCTATCTGTTTCTGGAATCATGCACACTACACGTATAGAAGGTGGTGGCTGGTCCGTAGCCCGCTTCACACTGGATTCATGGAACCCATCTTTGAGCCTAGCAAGGCCAGACCACCGTGCACTGTCTCTCAAAGCATCGACCAACTGTCTCCTGACAAGAGTATAACCGATGTGAACAACGAACAATGATTTTATACGGGTTAAGAAGCAATGATTTACATGTCCGTTGGCGGTTTTTCGACATGTCGGCACCTTGCCAACCTTAACAGCAAGAGCAGCCAAGCAGTGCCTATCACCTAGGAAGTTAAGTGTGTCAGGCGCAGGTCCGACAGACAATTTGTCAAGATTAGTCCAATTGAGATTACAAAGCATACAATGAGCATCTTCAGCCGCCAAATCTACCAACCTGCAGATTTGCCATCCTGACTTTGTTTCTGATGTCTAAGGGCTACAGGACATAATTACACCAACTATTTCATCACGGGAAGAACTACAGATTCCTCCGTAAAGGAACTATCTTAGCTTTAGTATCAGTACTCGCAGAACTATCAGCATTGATAATCTCTGACGAATTGTGCAGCTTCGTTGCGAATGTATGCATACAACATCACACGATGAGGTTTGCGAATTTATCTCTACCGTACATGAATATAAAACATTTCCAACAGCCCAGCCTATCCATGGACCATTTCTGCACTTACGCTGTGCTACACGCGTACAACTCCATTAACTTCTCAATCCAACAGATTAGGAGAGGTATGTTTATGCTGATGTCAGGTTATGCACACGTTTGACAAACTGGTGTTTGAATCTCATCGGTATTCCTCAGTATGTAAATAGGGTTAAGGACTCACCTTCCGTAAAATGCATTCTTTGTCAAATCAAAACTCAATAAAGAAAGCTCGATTGACGTTAGTCCTGGAAAGTAGTGTGCTTGTGATACAGCTAAATCTCATCTTAAGTGGTTTCAGTGCGTACCTCATAGTTACTTGGCCCTCCATTGTGGCCAAATAAAGAGGAACAAGAGACCATTATCCACCGTCAACTATCATCCCATGTTAGGTGCTCCATTAGATGCAAGCGCACTGTTCCTTTCAGATTCTGGCTAAGCCCAGTTGAGCAGCCCAGATACTATACTTGGTCATTGAGCTGTCCTTAGGACCACGGTGGTGTCGCGTTCACGCAGTAACACCGGAGTAGGCTTGCTCGGACATACGCTGGAAAATACGGATTTGGTATGGTATCTGATTGAGATCTTTGTGATTGCATTGTGGGATGGTGTAGTCATTAACTCACTTGAAAACACCTGACCACATTTAGTCCACGTTCTCAACAGACTAGACAACCTTGTTGCCTAGATTGGCATTTCGCTATCCAAACAGCGCTAGACTGTCCATGCCATGCTAGGATGGGGTTAGTATAATACTTCCATGAGACCTATTCCATTCCAAATGACTGGAGTCTGTACTCGGCTGAACGCAAACAGCGTTCTAAATCCGTACTCGAAGACAAAGTCAACCATCCACAGAGCTTGGCTAGAAGTTTCTGAAGCAGTCACCAAAGGGGAGGCGCGTGTGCGCCCCTCTTAATATGCAGTGGGAAACTGTACCGCTTACAATTTATCGGAATGCGCTGGGAACAGACAGGAGGTTAATTAGTTCGGAAGGCCTAGGATATGAATCGTTTTGTCGTTTGTACAGCACTGAATCGGGTCACAATACAAACCTATACAGAGCCGAGTTATGCCACAATACAAACATTTGCGAAATAATTTTCATTACAAGCAATCACAGCCGAAGAAAACTTGACGGTGGGGCGGCAATATTTGCTTAAGCATTGCGTCAAATCAAAACCTACTCCCACACCAGCAACTTCGCGTTGTTTTCCTAGTTGAGTGGTTCGCTTAAATAGGTTTTATAAACAGACTAGGCAACGCCAACCGGACAAATTCTATGGCTTTATAACTGATTGATGATGCACTAGGGAACAAACAACTAAGCCCGAAGAACGTCGCAACGTCTTCATCCATTATCCTGGTTGTTTATATTCATAATGATTAACTTTGACACCGCAGAGCTGTATGGAAATGCCGCACCAAAGGTTATGGCACAGCGATGTACTTCTACAGCATTAGTGGAGAAGGATGTATGGAGAAAGTAGCTGTTCCTGTACACAGATGAAGTCCTAATTTGACGATGTCGTTCAGCCCAGAGTTACAAAGTATGGTGCAAAACCGTTGGTTGAGTTTATGTTCGGAATTTCCTAATGGCCGTGTGAACACGAGAGTGCTGTTACTCAGAGTTCAAGCAGTGCGTTATTACAGGAAAACTGCACTGTACTCTTCTATCAAGAGTTTCTTTTGGTATTACTCGTGAGTAGCAGGATTTTTAGATGTAAGCTTTCAAGGTATTCATCCCACTACTTCACAAGCTAGATAGCACAGCCTAGTCTGGAAAAGCACCAGACGCGTTTCACCCTATTGGGGTTAGTCTGTCGTGCGCATTCCCTCGGTCATCTAAGGAGGATCGAACCCGTGACAGTTAGAGGCAGATGTCAACTAGCCAGCAGCTTAAGCCACTGAGCCATGGGGGATTTTGGCTGAGCTACATAATTTGCAAGCTAACTGGGATATAGCACCATCTATCTTCCACTGTCACTGACAGTGGCTAGCCTGCTAGCTAATGACGCTATATCCATAGCATTTGAAAGTAGGAAAGGCTATTTGTATTTTATAATACTCACTAGGAGAAGCTATTTTTACCGTAAAAACTGTATCACTGCGGAGGCAGCTGAGAATATGTGATGACACGACGTCCAGACCGTTTGCCTCCGTCCACGCCGGTCATCTTTTACTGCTCTACTGGCAGTGCGAGCCAGTTTAATCAAGGTGGCGGATGTTGACAACTTGGCTGTTTCTACATGCATGGACTTGTCTGAATTGCTAGACAGCCGGATCACCGAACTCTACAAACGTTGAAGGTACGGACTTTCTGCTCATTGTCTGTGATAGAGGTCTGATCTAGTTTTTCGGCGAGATATGAGCAAGAAAGAAGGAGGCTGTTTATTAATCCCATTCGGGTTTGGTAGATTAAGTTGCTTGTCTGCGCATTCTTCCCACTCGAACAAACCGTTGAGGATGACTGATCCCCTAAAACCGCTGACTTCACCAGTGACGCGGTGTTTTAGGGAGCTGGCAACGCTCAAGCTGCTACCCGGTTCAACTTATTAAACAGCAGTGCAACAGCATATCGATCCATCCAAACTTGAGGACCAGGTGTTGCGGAAACCGAGTCAGGAATGTGAACTTTTGCGACTCGATGACGGTCCCAACTTGTGGAAGCTCTCGAATGTGTCTGCGACTGGCGTACAATGTGTTACATTGTTCAAGAGGAAGTTAGGACTGTCTGAGTATCCCAAGTTCCAACAAGCGCACAGCACCGATGCGCGCCTTAGGATGACGTAACAAGACGGATTCAGTGACTGTGGATGTCACATCCCTTGATAAACGAGACAGACAGCCTTGGGAAATTATGTCGCAATTCACCGACGTTCGTGCGTTGGCTTCGCAACTGGCGCATTAAATTATACACTTTCTTATACCTGGGTGCCAGCCCCTGATTTCATACAGCATTACGTTGCGCTGACATAATTATGTCCAGTAGTTACTGACCAGGTGAATTCCGGTCAAAACACTGAAGCGAGCGAGCGCCTTTTTGAGTCGGCGATGTATTAGAATTGATTAGAATAACACCAGACTCACGTCTTGCCGAATGAGTTAGCTTGAGAACCCATCCAAGTTAGTTACTCCTGCACCTTCGCTAGCTGTATCTAGAGTTGCTATTTGGAAATATGCTTCTCCGACCACATAGCACGGTAGATCATGCGAATTGTGAATTATTAAGTGCAACGAAATCGCTTCGAAGAGGTCGCCGTCGGGCATATTGGGGAATAAACGCATAGGGATTCCCCGAGTATCCATTTACCTTTGTCGCTGAAGTTTACTTGTCTGTGCAGTAAACTTTATTATTATTAGGAATTAGACCTAGACATTTTGCGCGTTCAGCACTCAATAATTGCGGAGTTGGTTTTTGTCAATTACATTTGAGACCTGTTGGATTTTGAGGACCTATGGTCACCAAACCACATACATACAGGTGTACACTGAGCTATCGAAACCTGTGCCAAAATAAAACAGTCACAAATTTTCCATGAGGTTAATGACAAACAACAGATTGCTTAATCTCAACGATTTCTCTATGGCTCGTAGCATTTAATGGTGGTAAGATTGGCAAGGTTATGGAGGAACTTCAAAGAGATTATGAAAACTTACAATAGTCATTTGGGTTTTCACGTTTCACGTCTACCACACGTCCATTGTCAAGTGCATTCGCTTTGGGTTGGGGCACGGTGCCAGAGGACCGCGCATCTGGGGCGTATACCTGGTGAAACAAAAGGACGAACCAACATCTTACCATGAAACTCAGTGGGTTTACCAAGGTACTGTGGCTCACAAAAAACGCCAACTTTGCAGACTTACAATTCTGATCCTCGCCATTTTTTCAATTCACGCACTGTGCAGGTGAGTCTCTATTCAATCCGTCATCAGTTGACTTTTGTACTTCTCAACTGGGTCTAGTGTATCACCTGCTCTGCGTCCCAGCGTAGCTCATCACTAGTGTGGTTACACACACATCTACACTTTGTTGAACGCACACTTTGCGCGATCCCCGAATCCGGTTGAAGCGCTCGGCTTTGATCCATGAGTTGCTGCGTATTTTGGCACACATCGATTGCTTGCATGGATTTTTACGCCCCCACCGACTGTCTGTATGCGTCTGTTTCATCATTAAAGGTACGTTCCAGTGTGGTGCACCGTTGTGATAATGCGCGCACGATGTACGTGGCGTAATATGTGCGGGTGTGTCAAGCAAAAAGGAAGTGTGTTGGTGCTCGCAATTCAAACAGTATTTCCAGTCGCGAAACTTGAGCATCTATCAGTAGGATACGCCCACTTTTCTCTCAACTGGTTAGCTACTTTATGCTATTTAGAAAGTGACAGAAAGATGTGGCACCGTTGCGAGTTCCGCACAAACGTTTCGGCCTGGTCTGCGCTAGACTGTCCCCACTAAGACGGTGAAATACACGTTGCTTACAAACAACCGGTCGGGGCCACCAGCATTCCTCCAAACCAAATCCAGATGAGGCGGTCTATCAGATGGCGTGATTACCTCAAAAGCAATGAACTTGCTTGTAAGTTACCTCTCAAGGAACCGCCTAGACGCTCCCAGTTAGAATTATGATCTGGGGGCTGTAACAATGTCGCTTCTGCCTGTTAGGTTCGTAGTAGTAAAGAGATGCTCTAAAACATGCCAGACTTTTGAACGATGGACAAACCATTGAACCCAGATATGTTCAGTGTTGAAAAACATACTTATGGATAGAAGGGGTAACGCCACAACTATAAATGTTGTATAAGTACAACTCAGATTCATCTGTACATCGTTTTTCAATATGCCACGTTTTCCAGTATCCGTAATTGCTGTCATTCGACAGCTTATTTATGGAACCGTGGTAAGCGTCCGTAAACAATTAAAGGAATTATGTCAAGTCTGTGGCCACTATGTTCTCCAGAATAAAAAGGCTTATTATCTGTTACCTTGAAGCTATACAAAATGGGCATTAATTGACAGTGGGATATTATTCAATTGGGTAACTGAATGGTCCTTATGTTAAACCATCCCTGTTCGATTTTCGACAGTGTTTAAGCATGCCATCCTTATTGCTCATTAGCGGCATGTTGCATGTTTAAAGATCGTGGTAGTTCACCGTTTGATTTTCACTGATCGACTTCTTGGCAAATGAAAACCCACTGGCATGAGAATGTGGGCTAATTATGACATACATTGGTCGTTTATTGTGACTACCACAACTGCTGAAGAGCTATTGACTCCGTGTTGATTAGAGAAATTAAAAAGCTGACACATGAGCATGGTAACCCATAGTTTAGCGCCACTACAGTCTAATAATGCAGTTGGATAAAGCATTGCAAAAGCATCACTCATTTCGTGTGGTTGGGCATGTCGCAGTGAAGTGATGCACCAGAAAATTCTATGCCGTTCGCTTACTAGAACCATGAGCAGTACCTAAAAAACCGCCACTGAAGGCTCGGTGACGTGAAGTAAAAAAACAACAGCATTATAAACCCGGCCAAGCATACAGTGAAGTGATAGTTACAATTAGTAGACTGTGCTATTTGTGCCAGCTACAACTGCTACTGCAGCAAGCGTTTTTACTTTAATCTTCTCTGCAGACGTTCACTTAAAAAGGGGACAACCATCAACGTAACACGGGTGCCGGGAACTGTAATACGTTCCAAACGTTTCAAATACACACCATGGATTTTTGTGAAGCACTGTGCTTAATCGTGGAATAAGTACAATTCCGATTTGCTGTGATACAGTACAATGGGATGCTAGTTTGCTTCATCCAGTTCTCTCATCGGAAGGAAAACAAAATGAAGCTTAGTGTGAAAGCAAGAAGGGCTTCATTGCTACAGAACTACATCGGTTTTCCACTGTTTAGCTCGTGCTAACTGAGTGTAATGTTTGATCAGCCAACTATATTTAGATGAATGCCTCACGGAACTTATCGATCTGGCTTAGCGTGGCAGTGATCCAATCAAAGAGGAGGATCCCGTTTTCGTGTTAAATGAGCGACTAACTGAAGAGGAAAGGTAACTAAAGACGTATATCATTCCTTAGCTTGGATGAAACACTATGCCACTGATATTGCTATGAAGGGAATATAAATTCCAGCCAGAAACCAAGTGACGAACACAGCCCGGAGGGTGCCGAATGTAACGCGTCACTTAGCACAGACACAATGACTCGATCGAATCAGGAATGACGAGCCGCTTCGAAGTACCGCAAACTGGCAAATGTATGTTGAAACCGGTTCTCAACAAAACAGGTAAGAGCAACAGGTTATGCATGCACAAAGTATAAGGTCGTACTGATGCTATCGCACAGGTGTCATTGCGTTCTGTTTGCCCGTTGAATTGGTCGGAGAAAAGACACCGTATAATCAGCGCCCAAGCCAGACTGTGCGATATTAATTTGTCTTGCTTTGGAAAATGATAACACAGTAGTCGGGCAAATCTCCACCCTTATTGACTTGACAGACTTCAAATCGTTGCATTGCTTTCAACCCTTGGCTTCGAATAATTTCCTGCAACTTGTTCTTTGCAGTTTGGTATTGAGCTAAATTTATTGCTATTTAAAGAACGCGTGGAGCACTACGACCGCCTCATTGTTCCTAAGATGTTGATGAAAAATGCAGTAGTCTCTTAAGTTAAGCGAACCATTACATCCGATTTACTTCTACTAATGCATTGCCGTCGATCGCTTGTATAACGCTGAAGTGAAGTTCCTTCAGGGATCATTCTCATGAGGTCAAGGCGAGGGAGATCCCAGACTGGGTTGCAGCTAGTCAAAGTAATCCTAGAACCTTCGTTTGTATCCATTTCGCTCACGCTAAACGGCAGGGAAATACCCAGATACATAGTCATGAACCTCGCGGAGTAAAACTTGCGTCTTAGTACAGAATGAATCAAATCGAAACAGTTGTTCCGTTGAGCAACTGCTATTAAATAGCGATACTTGACCACGGCCAAGTCCACATCAGTAGGGCATTTTAATGTAGATAACCGAGGGTTCGCACAGAGAGGTCATGAGTTGGGATCCCAATGTTGCGCAGAGATGTGCACTACTGAGAAATCCTAATGGCACCATACAGAGGGCCAACTTGTCTGACTTGAAATCTACTCACAAGAAGCCTCAATTACTTGCATAACACAGTCACTTGAAACAAATACTCCTTCAAGAAAACAAGGGGAGCAGAATCTCTGAAGGAGATTTGCTTCACCACAACTACAACATTACTGTAGCCGCTTACATTACTGACATCTCTTCTTCGCCTGAAATTTCCAGAATATAAGACAACCTGTAAGCATTTTTCCACAGCAACTGACGGTGCCCCATTATACCCATATTTGTGACATTCTTTTCCTCCAAAAATGTATGAGGTCTTTATGTGAGCTAATAAAAGTGGATTTTCATACACTTTTCAAAAGGCCTAAGACTTCTAGCAGAAAATATGAACTGCTTTCACATCTTAATAACTTGTTCCAAGAATAGGTTAAAGATTAACTTTATATCCAGTGTACCAGCCATGCGCCCAGCGGAGATGCAATGAATATTTTAACGTTAATAGGATAATCGAGTGATGGACGTATCCCTCACGTGACTCACTTGATCCCGAGGCTCACCGTTTGGAGGTGCCATGACTGGCTTCGACCAGCAGTTACACAAGGTTCGCTAGTGTGAGAACAAATTGAGCAACTTCACTTCGACAGTCCACAATGTTATACATGTTCGCCAAAAGTTACACGCTGAAACTGGGTCTACTTTGCTCCTGAATTTTCTGCTCAGATCAAATGACATATGTACGCCCCTCGGCTGGTTAAGGTCGATCGGTTCATTACGCTACTGTAAAGGTGTTGAACGATATCCTTTACTGCAAACCGCCTATGATGTCTGATACATTATGATGGTTTCCCTTTCGTATACAAAAGATGGGACAAGTCTTCACTACGGTATAGAGGCAAAATACAGGAATTCTGAAGATAACGATAGTATCCGGTGACAAAGTAAAATGTTTGGTAGATCAAAACAGAATAACAGAACTGATAGAATGCTAATGAATTGAAACCATGGCTTCCCGATCGGCTCCAAGTCTATTCCAAGACCATGCTTTAAGCAAATGCAGTCGTTGCATATGTAGAGTCGACTTCGAATGTTCCGAGTACGTCCACGTCGACCGAAACGTCTGAATAGATTGCTACTTCGACTTGTTCACCAAGAAGGGTGTCTGTGTTTGGTTGGTCCGGGGGCAATTTCAGCTTATGGTTGTATAGCTCGCATGAAACTTGACTTCGGTGCCTCGTGAACATTGCGGACCTATTTTTGAACTAAATGCCGAAGCAGTGCTACTTGCAGGTGTGATACTGGTTGAGTGGGCAGCACACGCAACCTCCAAAACAAGTTCAGGGTAGCTTAATGCCCCCATATTCCACAGATGGATGGCTATACCAAGGATCTTTATCCCCACGGTGAACAGGATATTACAAAGCCATATATAACGCCGAGGTTAGTGTCTACCCCAATCTATGATGAAACAGTTTGCCATGCTTTCTGTACACACGGCAAAGAAGAAAAGTGCTCGGTTCACACACCTTTTACCGGACGGTTCTATGCTCCGTGTGATCGTTGAACATACGAACGTACTTATCCAGTTGTCGCCGTCGCAAGAATGGCAAGCAGTGAAGTTTTCTCAGTTTCATATTGCTCCCCTCTCAAAAGTAACATTAGCTCTGCCGTAACGTTTACTTGCACTCACGTGAAAGACATGAGTAGATGAACGCGGTAAAGGGCCTAGCAGCTTTACCACAATTCTAGGTGTCTAGCCCTAGTCAAATGGGTAGAACACACGTACTTGATGTGGCGAAACAAGATGTTTGCTAACCTAACTAAACGAGGTATAATCTGGCAAACGGCGGTTATGGTAAAATCAGTTTTTTTGGAGTTATAGCACATGACCGCGGGGAATGAAAACGTAGGTTTACAGAGATCAGTTCAGAAATCATAAACCTTTGTCAAAGGAGTTATCGGTTTGACTGTTCAGCTCTGCTGCC